AACCTTCTTGTGTGGTCTGTGTGGTAGAACCCTCTTGTGTAGACTGTGTGGTAGAACCTTCTTGTGTGGTCTGTGTGGTAGAACCTTCTTGTGTGGTCTGTGTGGTAGAACCCTCTTGTGTGATTGTGTGGTAGAACCCTCTTGTGTAAACTGCGTGGTAGAACCTGCTCGTGTAGCCTGTGTGGTAGAACCTTCTCGTGTAGCCTATGTGGTAGAACCTCCTTATGTGGCCTTTGTGGTAGAACCCCCTTGTGTGGCCTGTGTGGTAGAACCTTCTTGTGTGGTCTGTGTGGTAGAACCCTCTTGTGTAGACTGTGTGGTAGAACCTTCTTGTGTGGCCTGTGTGGTAGAACCTTCTTGTGTGGCTGTGTGTGGTAGAACCTTCTTGTGTGGTCTGTGTGGTAGAACCTTCTTGTGTGGTCTGTGTGGTAGAACCCTCTTGTGTAGATTGTGTGGTAGAACCTTCTTGTGTAGACTGTGTGGTAGAAACCTTCTTGTGTGACCTGTGTGGTAGAACCTTCTTGTGTGACCCTTTTGGTGTGGTAGAACCTTCTTGTGTGGCCTTTGTGGTAGAACCCCCTTGTGTGGCCTGTGTGGTAGAACCTTCTTGCGTGGCCTGTGTGGTAAAACCTTCTTGTGTGGTCTGTGTGGTAGAACCCTCTTGTGTAGACTGCGTGGTAGAACCTTCTCGTGTAGCCTGTGTGGTAGAACCTTCTCGTGTAGCCTATGTGGTAGAACCTTCTTATGTGGCCTTTGTGGTAGAACCCCCTTGTGTGGCCTGTGTGGTAGAACCTTCTTGTGTGGTCTGTGTGGGTAGAACCCCCCTTGTGTGGCCTGTGTGGTAGAACCTTCTTGTGTGGTGGTCTGTGTGGTACAACCCTCTTGTGTAGACTGTGTGGTAGAACCTTCTTGTGTGGTCTGTGTGGTAGAACCTTCTTGTGTGGTCTGTGTGGTAGAACCCTCTTGTGTAGATTGTGTGGTAGAACCTTCTTGTTGATCTTCATCCAAAAACTCCACCATCAATGGGCTGTGTAGGTGTGACTGGCATGAGAAGCTCTATGGGTCCTACTTCATCAGAAGTCTATGGGGGTTCCAGACAGACATTGTTCTATAGGGCAAGCCTGGCACATATACCAAGCACATTGCATGATGGGATATGGGGGGTAGAACCTTCTTGGAGGGGAGCGCATGAGCAAATTCTAAATACTACACGTCAAGGTCTGGAATTCGCACATGTCATCCATCTTGTCCTCCATTTACAGGTTTCTGGTTTTGATTTATACCAGATGTCATGGCTGGGCACCTGGAATTCCACCTTCTATCCTCCCACCAGGAAGTCACCTTGTTGGGGTTCCCTGGAGTCCTGAAGTTCAGACGTCTCCTCTTCGTCCCGTTTTTCCTTCTCTTTGTAATCATTATAATGACCAACGGCGCCATCATCCATACGGTGAGAAAGGAGAGCTCCTTGCATGCTCCCGATGTACGTCCTCATCTCACTCTTGTCCATCACCCACATCTGTGGCACCATCAACATACTTCCCAAGATGCTCCTTGGCTTCCTCTTTGGCATGAACCGGATCACTCTGATTGGCTGCTTGCTTCAAATGTTCTTCATCTACTTCTTCTCCATGATGGACTGCAATGTTCTTCTGATGATGGCCCTGGATCGGTACATGGCCATCTGCAAGCCGTTGAGTTACCACAGCATCATGACCAGGAGAATGCTGGTTTATCTCATGGTTGCATCTTTTATAAGGGGTGTGACTTTCATCAGTCCCGTCATCTATCTGGCTTCCAGGGTCAAATTTTTGTGGCTCCGATACCATCCACCATTTTGCTTGTGAGCACATGGCCCTGCTGGGCTTGGCTTGTAGTAACGTGACCAAAAACAAGATAGTGGGCCTGAGCTTTCGAGTGATCTCCATGATAGTGGACCTGTCCTTCCTCTCCATCTCGTACGGGACCATCATTTGGACCGCATCGAAATATCTCCACCGGGAGGGCTCAGGCACAAGGCGCTGCACACATGTGGAACTCACATCCTGGTCCTCTTGGTTGTCTACTTCTTCAGGCTCTCCTCCTCCGTCATTTACCGGATATCTAGATCGGTGACCCAAGACACACCCACAATCTCCTCAGTGCTGCCTATTTATTGGTCCCTGCCCTGGCCAATCCTCTGATTTATGGACTTAGGGCCAATGAGATCAGAGTGCGAATACTGAAAACTTTCAGTCAGAAACGGGAGTTCACAAAAAGGACAATGTGAGCTTCTGTGTCCTGGAAGAAGAAGAGGTGATGGGATGAAACTTCTGGAACAACAAGAAACCGTCTGTTTGTAAAAACCGGACCAAGGAATCCGTTTACCGCCATGTCGTTCATTAATATTCGGTCTGTAATAGTCGGTCTGACCTTTGTGGTCACCCATGACGATGACATGTTCCTTGTCTCTACCCTCCCCCTCTGATCTCCCTGTAGGCACCTCAGAAGGTCTGCTACATACCATCTTGGCGTGTGCTTTGTGTATGTCCTATATACAGTATGCGCATGCGTGATTGTCTGCAGGACCTGATCATGCATGTTCTCCGCGTGTGCTCTGCATGTGCTCTGCGTGTGCTCAGACTGTGCAGTTCATTTTCTCCACTGTAGGTGGCGCACCACCTCATTGTGTGTTGCAGTAGGAGAGGAAGTCAAGAAGAACATGGTTCCTCTATGGTTTCCGTGTACCTGGAGAAGCTATCCGATTGGATTGACTCAGGAGCCGCTGAAGTTCGGGTCCCCAAACGGACCTCCAGGAGACAGGAACCAGTCCTTGAGCTTTGTTCTGAAGTTTTATTAGAGGAACTGAACTTGGATAAGGGTGAGGAGTGTACGGGAGGCCCAATGGATGTAGAAGGAGGAGGAGTCTCCCCTCCCCCAGTGATCAGACTGTACATTGTAACTTTGGCCCCCATAGATGGCCCCCCATAGATGACCACTATAGATGACCTCCATATATGTCTTCCATAGATGACCTGCATAGATAGCCTCCACAGATGGCCCCCACAGATGACCTCCACAGATGGCTCCCATAGATGACCCCCATAGATGACCCCCATAGATGGTCTCCATAGACAGTCTCCATATACAGCCCCCATAGATGGCTCCCATAGATGACCCCCATAGATGACCCCCATAGATGGCTCCCATAGGTGACCCCCATAGATGACCCCCATAGATGACCCCCATAGATGACCTCCATAGATGACCCCCATAGATGACCCCCATAGACGGCCTCCATATACAGCCCCCATAGATGGCTCCCATAGATGACCACCATAGATGACCCCCATACATGGCTCCCATAGATGACCCCCATAGATGACCTCCATAGATGACCCCCATAGATGACCTCCAATCACTACCACCAATGCCATGTAGTCTTCATTATGTTCATGTGAATTAAAAATTATTTTACATTTTTGTTTAAATCTGAAGTTTTCTGTAAAAAAGTTTCTTCAGATCCCGCCAGAAAAGTTCTCATTTAGGCAGTTCCTGTATTAGGGGGACAACGCTTTGTCCCTGTCTCCTGATTGTTCTCTTGAGTTGTCACCCTGTCATACAGACCATGGCCACTGGAGGAACAATATATAGGGGCACCGCGATACCACAGGTGACACCTAGGGGGCACTAAGCATGTTCACCACTAAATCATACAACTGGAAATATACATCATTGTATTCCTTCTGTATGTAAAGTCAGTATATATATATATATATATATATGTGTGTGTGATGTCACTGACACCCAGCATGTACTACACAGACAGGAGACGGTCAGAGACTGCGGACACAGTGCAGGAGATGACCAGAGACTGCAGACACAGTACAGGAGATGACCAGAGACTGCGGACACAGTACAGGGATGACCAGAGACTGCGGACACAGTACAGGAGATGACCAGAGACTGCGGACACAGTACAGGAGATGACACTGCGACACAGGCAGGAGATGACCAGAGACTGCGGACACAGTACAGGAGATGACCAGAGACTGCGGACACAGTAGTACAGGAGATGACCAGAGACTGCGGACACAGTACAGGAGATGACCAGAGACTGCGGATGACCACACAGCGCAGGAGATGACCAGAGACTGCGGACACAGTACAGGAGATGACCAGAGACTGCGGACACAGTACAGGGGATGACCAGAGACTGCAGACACAGTACAGGGGATGACCAGAGACTGCGGACACAGTACAGGAGATGACCGGAGACTGCAGACATAGTACAGGAGATGACCAGAGACTGCGGACACAGTACAGGAGATGACCGGAGACTGCGGACATAGTACAGGAGATGACCAGAGACTGCAGACACAGTACAGGGGATGACCAGAGACTGCGGACATAGTACAGGAGATGACCAGAGACTGCGGACACAGTACAGGAGATGACCGGAGACTGCGGACATAGTACAGGAGATGACCAGAGACTGCGGACACAGTACAGGAGATGACTGCAGACACAGTACAGGAGATGACCAGAGACGGACATAGTACAGGAGATGACCAGAGACTGCGGACACAGTACAGGAGATGACCAGAGACTGCGGACATAGTACAGGAGATGACCAGAGACTGCGGACACAGTACAGGAGATGACCAGAGACTGCGGACACAGTACAGGAGATGACCAGAGACTGCGGACACAGTACAGGAGATGACCAGAGACTGCGGACACAGTACAGGAGATGACCAGAGACTGCGGACACAGCACAGGAGATGACCAGAGACTGCGGACACAGTACAGGAGATGACCAGAGACTGCGGACACAGTACAGGAGATGACCAGAGACTGCGGACATAGTACAGGAGATGATCAGAGACTGCAGACACAGTACAGGAGATGACCAGAGACTGCAGACAGCACAGGGATGACCAGAGACTGCAGACATAGTACAGGAGATGACCAGAGACTGCGGACACAGTACAGGAGATGACCAGAGACTGCGGACATAGTACAGGAGATGACCAGAGACTGCGGACAGTACAGGAGATGACCAGAGACTGCGGACATAGTACAGGGGATGACCAGAGACTGCGGACACAGTACAGGAGATGACCAGAGACTGCGGACACAGTACAGGGGATGACCAGAGACTGCGGACATAGTACAGGAGATGACCAGAGACTGCAGACATAGTACAGGAGATGACCAGAGACTGCGGACACAGTACAGGAGATGACCAGAGACTGCGGACACAGTACAGGAGATGACCAGAGACTGCGGACACAGTACAGGAGATGACCAGAGACTGCAGACACAGTACAGGAGATGACCAGAGACTGCGGACATAGTACAGGAGATGACCAGAGACTGCAGGACACAGTACAGGAGATGACCAGAGACTGCGGACACAGTACAGGAGATGACCAGAGACTGCAGACACAGTACAGGAGATGACCAGAGACTGCGGACACAGTACAGGAGATGACCAGAGACTGCGGACACAGTACAGGGGATGACCAGAGACTGCGGACATAGTACAGGAGATGACCAGAGACTGCGGACACAGTACAGGAGATGACCAGAGACTGCGGACACAGTACAGGAGATGACCAGAGACTGCAGACATAGTACAGGAGATGACCAGAGACTGCGGACACAGTACAGGAGATTATTATTTATATGTATATGGCGCAGAAGGTTTGCTCAGCGCTGTACATTATAGTGGGGACAGAACATGAGACAATACAGTAACAATACAATACACGAGGGGGGGCGAGGGCCCTGATCCTGGGAGCTTACAATCTAGGAGGGAGGGGGTAGTGGTACAGGAGGAAGTGGCTGTGGGGGATGGAGTGGTAGGAGGAGTGGAGGAGATCGGCTGTTAGGTGGGGGTGGGGTAGGCTTTCCCTGAAGAGATGGGTTTTCAGGGTGAGCCTGAAGGTGAGGAGGGTAGGTGACAGTCTGATGGATTGGGGTAGTGAGTTCCAGAGGATGGGGGAAGTCCTGGAGAAGTCCTGCAGTCAGGCGTGGGAGGAGGAGACCAGGGAGCTAGAAAGTAGGAGGTCTTGTGAGGAGCGGAGATTACGGGTTGGGTGGTATTTGGGTATCAGGTCGGTGAGGTAGTTTGGGGCGGAGTTATGAATGGCTTTGTATGTCAGAGGGTGGTGGAGGACACTGAGTGGAGGACACTGCGTGGGGAGTGGAAGAGGTCAGTGGACGTGGGGGAATGACAGAGGGGGTGGAGGACACTGAGTGGAGGCCAGTGGAGGGAATGACAGTGAGGGGTGGAGGCCAGTGGAGGGAATGACAGCGAGGGGTGGGAGGTCAGTGGAGGGAATGACAGAGGGGGGTGGAGGACACTGATGGAGGCCAGTGGAGGGATTGGCAGAGAATGACAGGGGTGAGGACACTGAGTGGAGGCCAGTGGAGGGAATGACAGAGGGGGGTGGAGGACACTGAATGGAGGTCAGTGGAGGGAATGACAGAGGGGGGTGGAGGACACTGAATGGAGGCCAGTGGGGAGGGAATGACAGAGGGGGGTGGAGGACACTGAGTGGAGGACAGTGGAGGGAATGACAGAGGGGGGTGGAGGACACTGAGTGGAGGCCAGTGGAGGGAATGACAGCGAGGGGTGGAGGTCAGTGGAGGGAATGACAGAGGGGGGTGTGGAGGACACTGAGTGGAGGCCAGTGGAGGGAATGACAGAGGGGGTGGAGGACACGGGGTGGAGGCCAGTGGAGGGAATGACAGAGGGGGGTGGAGGACACTGAATGGAGGCCAGTGGAGGGATTGACAGAGAGGGGGGTGGAGGACACTGAATGGAGGCCAGTGGAGGGAATGACAGAGAGGGGTGGAGGACACTGAATGGAGGCCAGTGGAGGGAATGACAGAGGGGGGTGGAGGAGGTTGTTGTCGGTGAGGAGGGCTCATAGGCGGGTGTAGACGAGGCGCTCGAGGAGTTTGGAAGTAAATGGCAGCAGGGAGATGGGTCTGAGGTTGTTCAGGTCGGTGGGGTCCAGGGAGGGTTTTTTGAGTATGGGGGGGATGTGCACATGCTTTGGGGGGGGGAGGGGATGCGCCAGTGGAGAGGGAGAGATTGAAGATGTGGGTGAGGGAGCGTAGGATGGAGGAGGAGGGTGACCGGAGGAGTTGTGTGGGGATAGGGTCCAGGGGGCAAGTGGTGAGGTGGGCTTCTGAGAAGACCTTAGTGACCTCCTCAGTGGTGAAATTGGGGGGGTGGGGGGTGAGTGGGGGGGGGGGGGGGGGGGGGGCGGGCGGTGAGTGAGGTGCTGGGTGGGGGTGGGGAGCGGTGAGTGAGGTTCGGGGCGGGGAGTGAGGTGCTGGGTGGGGGGGGGAGTAGAGAGTTGAAGGTGGAGAAGAGCCGGTGAGGACAGGTGGAGAGGGCCTTGATGAGGGTCAGGAAGTAGGCTTGTTTGGTGGTGTGGAGGGAGGGGAGGTGTAGGTGAGGGAACTGCGTCATTTAAGATGTTTAGTGTGGTCAGTCTGCCAGGGTTGGAGCGGTCAGGTCTGGTGTTACGTGTGGTTAGGGGTGCCAGGGAGTCTAGGGCAGAGTCGTTGTACACAGTAGTGGTCAGGTCAGGGCAGGACAGGGGGGGATAATGTCGTACAGACGGTCAGCTGCAGAGTGGAGGGGGGCCGGGTTCAGGTTGCGGAGGTTATGGCTGGTGATGGTTTGACGTTTGGGGGGGGGGGTGTTAGAGGACCGGGGGATGGAGAACGTCATGAGGTTGTGGTCAGAGAGAGGGAAAGGGGTGTTTGTGATTTGGGGGGGGGTGCAGAGATGGGAGAAGACGAGGTCCAGGGTGTTCCCGTCGGTGTGGGTGGAGGACTGTGCGCTGTGTGAGGGCAGAAGAGGAGGTTAGGGGGAGGAGTTGGGATGTAGCCGGGTTGTTGGCATTGATGGGGATATTGAAGTCTCCAAGGATGATGGAGGGGATCTCAGAGGAGAGGAAGAAGGGGAGCCAGGAGGAAACGTTGTCTAGGAAGTGGGATACGGGTCCAGGAGGCCGATAGATGACTGCAATCCTCAGAGGGGTGGGGGAGGAGATCCGGATGCAGTGCGCCTCGAAGGAGGAGAAGGATAGAGCGGGGGGGTTAGGGAGGACCTGGAAGGTGCTAAGCGGTGACAGGAGCACGCCGACCCCCCCCCACCTCTGCAACCGCTCGGTCTGGGTGAGTGGGACCAGACGAGACCTCCATAGGAGAGTGCCGCAGGGGAGGCGGAGTCAGTGGCTTGGATCCAGGTTTCCAGCAGAGCATCCTTCCTAGTTGGGGCTTCTATGACACAGGTCCAGCAGAGCATCATTCCTAGTTGGGGCCTCTATGACCAGGTCCAGCAGAGCATCATTCCTAGTTGGGGCCTCTATGACACAGGTCCAGCAGAGCATCATTCCTAGTTGGAGCCTCTATGACACAGATCCAGCAGAGCATCATTCCTAGTTGGAGCCTCTATGACAGAGGTCCAGCAGAGCATCATTCCTAGTTGGGGCCTCTATGACACAGGTCCAGCAGAGCATCATTCCTAGTTGGGGCCTCTAATGACCAGGTCCAGCAGAGTATCATTCCTAGTTGGGGCCTCTATGACACAGGTCCAGCAGAGCATCATCCTAGTTGGGGCCTCTATGACCAGGTCCAGCAGACCATCATTCCTAGTTGGGGCCTCTATGACACAGGTCAAGCAGAGCATCCTTCCTAGTTGGGGCCTCTATGACACAGGTCCAGCAGGGCATCATTCCTAGTTGGGGCCTCTATGACACAGGTCCAGCAGGGCATCATTCCTAGTTGGGGCCTCTATGACCAGGTCAGCAGACCCTCATTCCTAGTTGGGGCCTCTATGACCAGGTCAAGCAGAGCATCCTTCCTAGTTGGGGCCTCTATGACCAGGTCAAGCAGAGCATCCTTCCTAGTTGGGGCCTCTATGACCAGGTCCAGCAGAGCATCATTCCTAGTTGGGGCCTCTATGACAGGTCCAGCAGAGCATCATTCCTAGTTGGGACCTCTATGACCAGGTTCAGCAGAGCATCATTCTCCTAGTTGGGGCCTCTATGACCAGGTCCAGCAGAGCATCACTCCTAGTTGGGGCCTCTATGACCAGGTCCAGCAGACCCTCATTCCTAGTTGGGGCCTCTATGACCAGGTCCAGCAGAGCATCCTTCCTAGTTGGGGCCTCTATGACCAGGTCAAGCAGAGCATCCTTCCTAGTTGGGGCCTCTATGACCAGGTCCAGCAGAGCATCATTCCTAGTTTGGGACCTCTATGACCAGGTCCAGCAGAGCATCATTCCTAGTTGGGGCCTCTATGACACAGGTCCAGCAGAGCATCATTCCTAGTTGGGGCCTCTATGACCAGGTCCAGCAGAGCATCATTCCTAGTTGGGGCCTCTATGACCAGGTCCAGCAGAGCATCATTCCTAGTTGGGGCTTCTATGAACTGAACCATACAATTGTCCTGTAGAAGGTTTATACATTTTTGTCCTTTAACTGTTCCTGCAGTCCCATTACTCCAGTCAGTTTCCGGGGTAGTTTACCATCCCCCATTATTATCACTGTCCCCTCTTTCCATCTGTGGGAGGAGCTGAGTCTCCAACTCCTCATTAACACTGGGAGGCCTATAAAAAACTCCAATGATGACCTTTGTAGTACCGCCCCCCATGTGCAGCTCCACCCATAATACTTCAGCCTCATCACACTCTCCATCCACTAGGTCCTCTCACACTCGCTGAGATCACTTCTCACAGAGACAGACTCCACCCCTTTCCTATTCCAGACTCCACCTCCTTTCCTATTCCAGACAGACTCCACCCCCTTTCCTATTCAGACAGACTCCACCTCCTTTCCTATTCCAGACAGACTCCACCCCCTTTCCTATTCAGACAGACTCCACCCCCTTTCCTATTTCAGACAGACTTCATCCCCCTTTCCTTTTCCAGACTCCACCCCCTTTCCTATTCCAGACAGACTCCACCCCCTTTCCTATTTCAGACAGACTCCACCCCTTTCCTATTCCAGACAGACTTCACCCCTTTCCAGACAGACTCCACCCCCTTTCCTATTTCAGACAGACTCCACCCCCTTTCCTATTCCAGACAGACTCCCACCCCCTTTCCTATTCCAGACAGACTTCACCCCTTTCCAGACAGACTCCCCCCTTTCCTATTTCAGACAGACTCACCACCCCCCCTTTCCTATTCCAGACAGACTCCACCCCCTTTCCTATTCCAGACAGACTTCACCCCCTTTCCAGACAGACTCCACCCCCTTTCCTATTTCAGACAGACAGACTCCACCCTTTTTCCTATTCCAGACAGACTCCACCCCCTTTCCTATTCCAGACAGACTTCACCCCTTTCCAGACAGACTCCACCCCCTTTCCTATTTCAGACAGACTCAACACCCCTTTCCTATTCCAGACAGACTCCACCCCCTTTCCTATTCCAGACCTTCACCCTTTCCAGACAGACTCCACCCCCTTTCCTATTTCAGACAGACTCCACCCCCTTTCCTATTTTCAGACAGACTCCACCCCCTTTCCTATTCCAGACAGACTCCACCCCCCCCCCTTTCCTATTCCAGACAGACTCCACCCCCTTTCCTATTCCAGACAGACCCCTTTCCAGACAGACTCCACCCCCTTTCCTATTCCAGACAGACTCCACCCCCTTTCCTATTCCAGACTCCACCCCCTTTCTTCTTCCAGACAGTCTTTCAGGACAGACACCCCCTTTTCTATTCCCCAGTCTCTCCGAAAGAGAACCTAGCCAGGAATATGAATGGCCCAGTCATGTGAGGAATGAAGCCAAGATTCAGCAATACCAATCCAATCCTAGTTCTCTTCATTCACCAAACCTTCTGTCAAGGATCCGTTAAACGATCCCCCTGTCACGTGTCCCCACACGCCACGCCCACAGCGACTAGCTAACCGTGACGCATGCGTGCGGCCGCGACAGGGTGGTGATAAAGAGGGGGAATAAAGGGATTTACACTTAAATATCTCAGACCGTATATAAGATCAGCCGTGATACCTTTCACAGCCCGCACTACCTCTGCCCACCACCAGAGGGAGACTCCACAATCCAATCCAGATGGCTGACCACACACTGGCAGATACGATCTTACATACAATCTGGTGCCCTGATTAGAGTTGAGGACCAGTTTAGTATCACACACCCTTCTAAAGGTCCCTTCAGCTATCCTAGCTTGAACCCCGGTGTTATCACCCTTCCACTGTCCACACCCCCCACACCAGACGCACCCCCTCCCCACACACCCCCCCCACACCAGACGCACCACAAAGGTAGCCTGCCACCACCCAACAGTTTATCCGCAGAACGGTCTGTTGAGACACCCCACACACACAGATCTCTGTCTGGCAGATCTGTTACCCTTTACAATCTGCACACAATCTGCCCACACACAGTGCAGTTGCATACAGATTGGCAATGAGCTTAACCGAGCGTTTTAAAGGCACTAAAATACAATCCAATATAACCCAATCTAATCCCTCCAATCTAATCTCTCCAATCTAATCTCTCCAAATCTTAATCCCTCCAATCTAATCTCTCCAATCTAATCTCTCCAATCTAATCTCTCCAATCTAATCTCTCCAATCTAATCTCTCCAATCTAATCTCTCCAATCTAATCTCTCCAATCTAATCTCTCAATCAATCTTCATCTCCAATCTAATCTCTCCAATCTAATCTCTCCAATCTAATCTTCCAATCTAATCTCTCCAATCTAATCTCTCCAATCTAATCTCTCCAATCTTAATCTCTCAATCTCTCTCTCCAATCTAATCTCTCCAATCTAATCTCCTCCAATCTAATCCCTCCAATCTAATCTCTCCAATCTAATCTCCCAATCTAATCTCCTCCATCAATCTAATCTCCCTCCAATCTAATCTCCTCAATCTAATCTCTCCAATCTAATCTCTTCCATCTAATCTCTCCAATCTAATCTCCCCAATCTAATCTCCTCCAATCTAATCTCTCCAATCTAATCTCTCAATCTAATCTCCAATCTAATCTCTCCAATCTAATCTCTCCAATCTAATCTCCTCCAATCTAATCTCCCCCAATCTAATCCCTCCAATCTAATCTCCCCCAATCTAATCCTCCAATCTAATCTCTCCAATCTAATCTCTCTCCAATCTAATCTCTCCAATCCCCAATCTAATCTCCCAATCTAATCTCTCCAATCTAATCTCTCCAATCTAATCTATCCAATCTAATCTCCCCAATCTAATCTCTCCAATCTAATCTCAATCTAATCTTCTCAATCTCCCCAATCTAATCTCTCCAATCTAATCTCCCTCAATCTCTCCAATCTAATTTCTCCCAATCTAATCTCTCTCCAATCTAATCTCCCCAATCTAATCTCCCCAATCTAATAATCTCTCCAATCTAATCTCCCCCAATCTAATCTCCTCCAATCTATTCTCTCCAATCTAATCTCTCCAATCTAATCTCCCAATCTCATTCTCTAATCTAATCTCCCGATCTAATCATCTCTCCAATCTAATCTCCCCAATCTAATCTCCCCGATCTAATCTCTCCAATCTAATCTCTCCAATCTAATCTCTCCAATCTAATCTCTCCAATCTAATCTCTCCAATCTCTAATCTCCCGATCTCATCCTCCAATCTAATATCTCCAATCAATCCAATCTCTCCAAATCTAATCTCTCCAATCTAATCTCTCCGATTCTCTCCAATCTAATCCCAGATCTAATCTCTCCAATCTAATCTCTCCAATCTAATCTCTCAATCTAATCTCTCCAATCCTAAATCTCCAATCTAATCTCTCCAATCTAATCTCCTCCAATCTCTCCAATCTAATCTCTCCAATCTAATCTCCAATCTAATCTCTCCAATCTAATCTCTCCCGATCTAAATCTCTCCAATCTAATCTCTCCAATCTAATCTCTCCAATCTAGTCTCTCCAATCCAATCTATCTTCCAATCAATCTCCCCAATCTCTCTCCAGATCTAATCCCTCCAATCTAAAATACCAATCGAAGTCTAATTAATTTCTCCAATTTAATTTCCCAAATCTAGGGCGGGGCATAAAATATCTGTACAAATATAATCAATCTCAGAAATACTAAGATATAAGAAGACTCACAAATGACTGATTACTCCAATCTAATCTCTCCTAATCTAAAAGACCAATCTAACGTCACCCTGCGGCTGGAGCTAAAGCCAGAAATCGGCAATCTTGACACCAATCTCTCAATCCATTCACTGACACTCTCTCCTTCATTCACTGACTCCAAACCTTGTCCATTGATCTCCAATCTCTCTCCAATCTCCTTCATTCACTGACATCTCTCCAATCTGAATCCTCAATCATTCACTGACACCTCCTTAATATTCCTGACACCTCGAGCTTAAATTCACTGACAAGTTCTCCATTCATTTTACACCTCCTTAATTTCAAAGTGGGCACATAAAATTCATGACACCTCCTTCATTCACTGACACCTTGTCCATTGACTGAAATCCTTCATATCACTGAGACCTCCTCATTCACTGACACCATTACTTCATTCACTGACACACCTTGTCCATTGACTGACACCTCCTTCATTCACTGACAAGCCCTTGTCCATTCACTGACACCTCCTGTCCATTCACTGACACCTTGTCCATTCACTGACATCTCCTTCATTCATTGACACCTCCTTCATTCACTGACACCCATCCTTCTATTCACTGACACCTCTTGTCATTCACTGACACCTCCTTCATTCACTGACACCCTCCTTCATTCACTGACACCTTGTCCATTCACTGACACCATCCTTCATTCATTGACTCCTCCTTCATTGACACCATTTACTGACATCTCCTCCATTCACTGACACCTCCTTCATTCACTGACATCTCCTCCATTCACCATTGACTGACATCTCCTCCATTCACTGACACCTCCTTCATTCATTGACACCTCCTTCATTGACACCATTTACTGACATCTCCTCCATTCACTGACACACCTCCTTCATTCACTGACATCTCCTCCATTCACTGACACCTTGTTCACACGGATTTTGTGTATTTTTTATTTTCATACAAATGGTACCAATTCCACTGGTTGTAACATGGGAACCTTCTTACCATCTCTCATAGCCCTCCCCCCATCTTTCCCCATTCCGCCCCCCAATAAGGACTGACCCCGGTCTGATCTGTCCACCACAATATAATCCCTGATGTACTGGAAGACAGGACTTCAGTGAGGAACATTTTCCCTCACTCTGGACAGGAAAGTGGCTTCTCCCCCCCGTGTGAGATCTCTGATGTTTGGAAAGACCGGACGGACGACTGTGAAAAACATTTCCCGCACTCAGGACAGGAATACGGCTTCTCTCCCGTGTGAGATCTCTGATGTCTGGAGATATAGGACTTATAGGAAAAACATTTCCCGCACTCAGAACAGGAATATGGCTTCTCCCCCGTGTGAGATCTCTGATGTATGAGAAGTATTGATTTTACTATAAAACATTTCCCGCACTCAGGACAGGAATACAGCTTCTCCCTCATGTGAGATCTTTTATGCATACTAAGTTTAGCTTTAGATTGGAAACATTTCCCGCACTCAGGACAGGAATATGGCTCTCCCCCGTGTGAGACCTCTGATGTATGATAAGTGTTGATTTTTCTACAAAACTTTTCCCGCACTCAGGACAGGAATACGGCTTCTCCTCCATGTGAGATCTTTTATGCCTACTAAGTGTAGATTTAGATTGGAAACATTTCCCGCACACAGGACAGGAATACGGCTTCTCCTCCATGTGAGATCTTTTATGCCTACTAAGTTCAGCTTTAGATTGGAAACATTTCCCACACTCATGACATAAATACGGCTTCTCCCCTGTGTGAGACCTCTGATGTATGATAAGTGCTGATTTTTCTACAAAACATTTCCCACACTCAGGACAGGAATATGGTTTCTCCCCCGTGTGAGATGTTTTTATGCCTACTAAGTTGAGATTTAGATTGGAAACATTTCCCGCACTCAGGACAAGAATACGGCTTTTCCCCCGTGTGAGATCGCCAATGTGTGCAAAGATGGGGACTTATCTGAAAAAGCACTTTCCACACTCCGGACAGAGGAAAATGGCTTCTCCCCCGTGTGAGATCTCTGATGTATGTAAAGAGAGGACTGCGCTGAAAAACATTTCCCGCACTCAGAACAGGAAAAATGGCTTCACCCCCGTGTGAGATCTCTGATGTTTGTAAAGAGATGACTTCGCTGAATAACATTTCCCGCACTCAGGACAGGAATATGGCTTCTCCCCCGTGTGAGATCTTTGATGTATGATAAGTAAAAGATTTTTCTACAAAACATTTCCCGCACTCAGGACAGGAAATACGGCTTCTCTCTCCCGTGTGAGATCTTTTATGAGCATTAAGTTTAGATGAAGAACGGAAACATTTCCCCGCACTCAGGACAGGAATACGGCTTCTCCCCTGTGTGAGATCTTTCATGAAGATTAAGTTTAGATGAAGATCCGAAACATTTCCCGCACTCAGGACAGGAATAAGGCTTCTCCCCCGTGTGACATCTTATATGCTCATTAAGACCGGATTTTAATGGAAACATTTCCCGCACTCCGGACAGGAATACGGCTTTTCCTCCCTATGACATCTTATATGCACATTAAGTTTAGATTTAGATTGGAAACATTTCCCGCACTCAGTACAGGAATATGGCTTCTCCCCCCCGTGTGAGAGTTTATAATGCTCATTAAGACTGGATTTATAATGGAAACATTTCCCGCACTCAGGACAGGAATGTGGCTTCTCCCCCGATGTGAGATCTTTCATGCCTATTAAGACCGGATTTATATTGGAAAACATTTCCCGCACTCAGGACAGGAGAACCTCTTCCCTGTTGGAAGGCCGGCCCGGTCCCGCACAGTCTGAGGTTCCTCAGGATACGAGGAATCCGATGGTCCATCTACACTGGGTGGTGCCGGATGGACATTGGAGGGAGCCGGGGTTTTCTCCTGGACTATACTGTGTGATGTCCTCATCTATCTACTTTCCAGTCTGGAGACAAAGTGAGACAATCCTCGGAGGATTTTCCTCATCTCCCCGGCCATGGACTAAAATACAAAGACAAAGAGGATTACTAGACAGGAGCTGATTTGGTTCCCCCCCAAACCAGACTCCGCCCACATCAGGCAGCTTGGTCTCTGAGGAGGAGCTTACAATTCCACCCTCAAGGGAACTAGGAAATGGCTCCCTCTGATCTCCTACCAGGTAGATCATTTCTTTATTCATGGACCTTAGTCAGAGAGTGAGGAAAAACCCAGAACTGTCTTTTATAGGAGGGACAGTGATGAGGGGATTATAGGACGAGGGTCCCCACCCCTCTATCACTCATCGCCATCTTCCCAACACAAGAAGTACTGCACTTCCCCTTATTTTTACTCCATGATTTAGTCATGAAGAACAGCGGAGCTGAGCCCCACCAGAGGTCAGAGAGTGAGGATGGGGGGAGAACAACCAAGATGAAGACTGGACTGATCCTGAAGACCACCATCATTGGGGTATTGACTCCTCCCTCATCCTGAAGACCACCATCATTGGGGTATTGACTCCTCCCATCATCCTGAAGACCACCATCATTGGGGTATTGACTCCTCCCCCATCCTGAAGGACCACCATCATTGGGGTATTGACTGCTCTCCTCATCCTGAAGACCACCATCATTGGGGTATTGACTCCTCCCCCATCCTGACCCTGAAGACCACCATCATTGGGGTATTGACTCCTCCCTCATCCTGAAGACCACCACCATCATTGGGGTATTACTGAGACCCCTCCCTCATCCTGACCCTGAAGACCACCATCATTGGGGTATTTGACTCCCTCCCTCATCCTGAAGACCACCATCATTGGGTATTGACTCCTCCCTCATCCTGAAGACCACCATCATTGGGGTATTGACTCCTCCTCATTATCACTTTCTGGTTGGAGGATGTTATCTGTTATCATCACATTATTTATCTCCAATCACATCATCTGATATAAAATGTCCAGCTGGGAGGAAATAGGGGGAACAGGAGGAGAAGACCACCATATTATGTGTATATATAGCAGAGGGGGGGGGGGAGGGAGAGCAGGGGTCAGGGGAGTATGTAATGTACAACACAGAGTATATAGTGCAGGGGTCAGGAGTATGTAATGTACAAACACGGAGTATATAGTGCAGGGGTCAGGAGTATGTAATGTACAACACAGAGTATATAGTGCAGGGGTCAGGAGTATGTAATGTACAACATCCTGGAGTATATAGTGCAGGGGTCAGGAGTATGTAATGTACAACAGGGAGTATATAGTGCAGGGGTCAGGAGGATGTAATGTACAACACGGAGTATATAGTGCAGGGGTCAGGAGGATGTAATGTACAACACAGAGTATATAGTGCAGGGGGGTCAGGAGTATGTAATGTACAACATAGAGTATATAGTGCAGGGGTCAGGAGTATGTAATGTACAACATAGAGTATATAGTGCAGGGGTCAGGAGTATGTAATGTACAACACATAGAGTATATAGTGCAGGGGTCAGGAGTATGTAATGTACAACACGGAGTATATAGTGCAGGGGTCAGGAGTATGTAATGTACAACACGGAGTATATAGTGCAGGGGGGTCAGGAGTATGTAATGTACAACATAGAGTAGTATATAGTGCAGGGGTCAGGAGTATGTAATGTACAACACGGAGTATATAGTGCAGGGGTCAGGAGTATGTAATGTACAACACGGAGTATATAGTGCAGGGGTCAGGAGATGTAATGTACAACATAGCCTTGTAGAGTATATAGTGCAGGGGGGTCAGGAGTATGTAATGTACAACATAGAAGTATATAGTGCAGGGGTCAGGAGTATGTAATGTACAACAGTATATATAGTGCAGCAGGGCAGTATAGGAGTAGGATGTAATGTGTACACAACAACATTAGGGAGTATATAGTGTGCAGGGGGTCAGGAGTAATGTAATGTACAACACAGAGTATATAGTGCAGCAGGGGTCAGGAGTATGTAATGTACAACACAGAGTATATAGTGCAGGGGTCAGGAGTATGTAATGTACAACACAGAGTATAGTATATGCAGTGGGGGTCAGGAGTATTGTAATGTACAACATTAGAGTATATAGTGCAGGGGTCAGGAGTATGTAATGTACAACAGGAGTATATAGTGCAGGGGTCAGGAGAGTATGTAATGTACAAACATAGAGTATATAGTGCAGGGGTCAGGAGTATGTAATGTACAACACGGTCAGAGTTATATAGTGCAGGGGTCAGGAGTATGTAATGTACAACAGAGAGTATATAGTGCAGGGGTCAGGAGTATGTAATGTAAACAACGGTACAGAGTATATAGTGCAAGGGGTCAGGAGTCAGGTATAATGTAATGTACAACAGAGTGATATAGTAGTGCAGGGGGTCAGGAGTATGTAATGTACAACACGGAGTAGATGGTATATAGTGCAGGGGTCAGGTAGGTATGTAATGTACAACACGGAGTATATAGTGCAGGGGTCAGGAGTATGTAATGTACAACATAGAGTATATAGTGCAGGGGTCAGGAGTATGTAATGTACAACATGGAGTATATAGTGCAGGAGTGGTCAGGTCAGTAGTATGTAATGTACAACACGACATAGAGTATATAGTGGGGGGGTCAGTGGAGATATGTAATGTACAACAGTAGAGTATATAGTGCAGGGGGTCAGAGTATGTAATGTACAAACATAGAGAGTATATAGTGGGTGGGGTCAGGGAGTATGTAATGTACAAACATAGAGTATATAGTGGGTCAGGGTCAGGAGTGATGTATGTAATGTACAACGTGGGAGTATATGTGGGGGTCAGGAGGAGAATGGTAATGTACAACACGGGAGTATATAGTGCAGAAGGGGTCAGGAGTATGTAATGTATACAACACGGAGTATATAGTGGGGCAAGGGTCAGGAGTATGTAATGTACAACACAGGAGTATATAGTGCAGGGGTATGGAGGGTCATGAGTATGTAATGTAACAACAGAGGTATATAGAGTATATAGCGGTGGGGTCAGGATGTAATGTAATGTAGATGGGTGGAGTACATAGTGCAGGCCATTACTGGTCAGGAGTATGTAATGTACAACATAGTATATGTGCAGGGGTCAGGAGTCCTGTAATGTACAACATAGGAGGCTAGTACCCTAGTGGGGTATTAGGATAGTAGGTGTAATTGTACAACAGAGAGTATTTAGTGCAGAGGGGTCAGGAGTATGTAATGTACAACACTAGAGTATATAGTGGGGGTGGGACATGGATGTACAAACATGCTGTAACAGAGTATATAGTGCAGGGGTCAGGAGGATGGTAATGTACAACATGGAGTATATAGTGCAGGCCAAGGGGTCATGGATTTGGAGTATGTACTTGTACAACACGGAGTATATATAGTGCAGGGGTCAGGAGGTATGTAATGTACAAACAGAGTATATAGTGCAGGGGTCTCAAGTGGAGTATGTAATGTACAAACACAGAGTATATAGTGCAGGGGTTAGGATGGTATGTAAATGTACAACACAGAGACTTAGATGGGATTAAGTGGGGGTAGGAGGATGTATATGTACAACATGAGAGTATATAGTGCAGGGGTCAGGAGTATGTAATGTCCAAGGTCGGAGTATATTAGTGCAGGGGTCAGGGTATGTAATGTGGGTGTACAATAGAGTATATAGTGCAGGGGTACCCCAGGAGTGGGTCATGTAAATGTACAACACAGAGTATATAGTGCAGGGGGTCAGGAGGTATGTAATGTACAACATAGGTATATGTGCAGGGGTCAGGAGTATGTATGATGTACAACAATTAGTCTGAATAGTGTATATATACTGGGATCAGTAGGGTATAAAGTGCAGGGGTCAGGATATGTAATGTACAACCTCAGTATACAGTGGGGGTTCAGGAGTATGTATATGTAAACACGAGTATATAGTGGCAGGGTCATCCCTCAACAGTCGGGTCATTGTCATGATATGTATCAACATGTCAGGAATATATGCAGGGGTCAGGCTGGTATGTCCAATGTACAATGAAACTGGAGTATATAGTGCAGGGGATCAGGAGTAGGTTACTTGGACAATCTGGGTGGACGTGGTCCTTCCCCTCACACAATGCCAGGGTCAGGAGGGATATGATACCCCAATTATGGGGTATAGGATGCCAGGGGGGGGATATGTAAAATGTACCAAGAGTACCTCTCACACGGGGATCTCCATGTATAATGTACATAAGGGGTGGATATGGATCCCCCAGGTATGTCGGGACATAAGGGGGGGGATGGTAGGGACATACAGATATCCCCCAAATTCAGGAGTCCATGTAAGTGGGTAAACATCCATATGGATGTCCGGTACTAGAGTCATAATGGGGGGATGTATGTATCAAATGTATAATACATAATGGGGGGATATGGA